GGTCTTCCTGTGTGGTTCCTTCTGCAGATTTAAACTCACTACCACCAACCACAAAAGGGCGAGCAGGAACTCGATAAGTGTTAGTTACATAGACGGCGATCAATGGGCATAGCACTCAGATGTTATTAAGCGCGGCCGCTCTGTTTAGTGAATTGAAGGCGTTAGAGGCGTCAACTAGTAAGGCGGCATCAGTTTCATCGCCTTCAAAGATATTGCGCATGGCATGTATTGCGGCTTCCCCACCACTCTTCTGACCAGTGCATGGCCCCACTAGCGTTGATCACATCTTGTTTTGTGACTCTTGTGACGCATTTGCCAATTATTTTTCTAATCAACTTTGTTGATATATTCAAATTATTCTTCTAATCACCTCACCCACACCAATTTTGTCTTCTTTTTGTGAAAAAAATGGCTGCTACCCTACGTCCTTACCTGAATGCCGTCCGTGCGACTCTCACTGCGTCCATGTGTTTGGAAAATTTCGATTCCCAGCTGGTGGAAATGCATAACAAACCCGAAGTGGAAGTCCGTAGCAGCAAGAAGTTGTTTCTAACTCCAGTCGTCATCAGCCGAAATGAAAAAGAAAAGGTGCACATTGAAGGTTCCATTAACTCTCTGAGAATCAGCATTGCCGTGAAACAAGCTGACGAGATTGAAAAGATCCTATGCAAGAAGTTCATGCGTTTTATGATGATGGGGACCGAAAACGTCTTTATCCTTCGAAGGAAACCAGTTGAGGGATACGACATAAGCTTCCTCATCACGAACTTTCACGCGGAGCAAATGTTTAAGCACAAGCTTGTTGATTTTGTAATTCAGTTTATGGAGGAGATAGACAAGGGGATCATTAAAATGAAGTTAGCTGTTAATGCCAGGGCGCGTATTTGTGCAAAAGAATTCCTCAAAAATTTCTAGAGTTGCAGCATGTACAGATTAAGCAGGGTTCAGCAAGCTAATTTCAAACTTTATACGGAGTTTTTCAATTCGAAGATTAGTTTTGTAATCAATACAGCTGAGTCTTTTTAAAGTTATGATTGTTTCAAACATTGCAGCGAACTCACCAAAGAAACATGTCTCATAACACTTTGAACTTATTTATCTCACCTGAATTGACAGTCATCTACTAAATGTTTGTCATCGTTAATTAGTATTTTGCTTTAATTTACCATAAGTACAAAGTTTGAACCAAAATATTACTTTGATTAATTGAGCAAGCCTGCAAGGGAGGAAGCTGGAGTCGACTCAGAATTAAGTGGTGTGGATGGTGTCTAATAATTATTTTATTTCCATGATTTTCCTTGGCCTGCAGGACCAATTTGATTTGACCTAGGCCTTTTCACATTTAACCTTCTTTTTTCCCAAATCATGGTCCAAGATGGGAGCAAAATAACAACTACATACAGAGAAGGCAAGGGAAAGTTTTTTTTGGAGCAACACTCTACAGGAGCTCTTCAGCCCTCGTTGCTTGTCCTTATGGGCTAACTTCACTTGTATGAAACAAAACAAAAATGATGGTCAGGCGGTTCTTAACTTTTATTGTTGGATAACATTTTTGAATTTGTATGATACTTAGGTCAAGCAAGGATTCGGGTTCAGATCTCTGCTGCCCACAGTACAGAGGAGATTGATCGTTGTGTTGAAGCCTTTATTGATGTTGGAAAAAAGAAAGGTGTAATTTAACTGAGCAGTGTGAAGTGTTTGACAAAATTTTCATCACTTTTCACGTTATTAGACTAACATGCTGTGGAACAAATGTGAGGTGTGTAAGGTTAGCCTTATTTATTAACCTGAACTATTTCTTCTGAGATTTTATGGCATTGAGTCTGAATTCTCTCCCATTACCAACAATAAAATATTTGATATCAATTTGAACCCAAACCGAATGATTGGACTTAAAAATTATGCGCCACAGCTAGCACACAAGTTAGGAAAAAACTTTTAACTGTAAGCAACATACAAAGTAACACTGTTATCAGATATTGTACTTAAAAACATATTCTATTTTACCATTCATCTGTTCACTTCAGTACAGGCAATCGATCACAAATGATGTCAAAATGTAGTGAGAACAGAAAAGTGGCAGACACGGCGCAACCAAGTGTGTCACTGATATTCTTTGCATATTTTGACATCTTCGGTGATCTATTATTGTAGACCAACACCCACATGATGAAAAAGTAAAATGCTGTTAACATCTGTCCTCCAATGGGCCAAAAGTAAGAACCTNGATAAAGATATTTTTTTCATATTCTCCAGTTGTTGGACACTTTCAAAGCCATGCTCTTTTTGACAAATGTTTCGTTTGTATCGTTCTGAGCTCAACAAAAAAAAGAAGGCGGAAGTAAAACTACCGATAATTTCAACATCAGTAAAAAAGGTCAGGTAGGGGTGTGATGTAAAACATCTGTGCAACACAAACTATTATGTACTAAGAACCAGTCAGCATTTTTTCCTA